TTTGAGATAAATACAGATGTATAAAAGAGCACGCGGTCCGTTATTTACATAACTGCACATTGTTTAAAAAAAGACTTGAAAGGACTTGAGATTGCAAGTTTCAGACTTGTGACTTGAGTTGTCTGTCTTGACTTGAGACTTGCATAACAATGACTTGGTCACAACTTTTTTATTTTTTATTTAAAACACTTGATGATGGAGGTGAAACGCCACAGTTTGGACGCTCGAATCCCGAGGCCTCAGAACAGAGAGATGTTCCATAAAACACGATGGGTGAATCTTGAAGGCGCTCACACATATAATCAGTACAGAGCTGTTCATATTTGTGTCCATCTCTGAATGACAGGTTGACTCTGACAAACGCTCCATTCACTGGTGCTAACAATCCTGCTTTGTTGCGGATGGGAAACTATGTGGAAAATCAAAAGTGTGTGCACCGTTATCAGCGGCTCCACGGCTGTGCAGCTGCAGAAAAGAGGAGGGAGGAAGTCCTTTCACGAATCTGCAACATTCACAGTGACCCCCACCTGTTGGCCCGTGTGAGGGTCTGACTCTTGTTCGTATGTTCTCACTTGTCAGCTCTCACCAGATTGTATTTCTTCTCCACCTGCTGTGTGAGCAGAGCTAATCCCTCCCACCAGGTTTGACAGACAAGTCTTCGATAAGAAACATGACCTGATCCCTGCTCCACACACACCACTACAGACACGTGAACACGGGGGAATTCCTCTTTCCTCAGGAAAAAAATCAGATTAGGAAAGGATGCAGAGAGAAAATATTTTATTTGCTTTTGTTGACATTTTATTTCTGCAATCTGGGTCAAAATGAATTTGCTATTAGTTTTATTTTTTATTTGTTGCTTTATGGTCTTATCAGTTTAACATTTCTTTTTCTACATCTGATCAAATTAACATGTTGATAATGTTTAAAATCACATTCATATGTGAACATTTCATAAGTTAAACGATTAAGCACATGAAATGTTAATGTTTTTTATTGTACATATT